TTCCGGGTTTCAAAAGTTATGTGATTATTTCAGGCTCTTCCAAGTCATTTAAAGTAATTAAATTCTCACCAGCAGAGTTGCACCCCCACTGGAAGATCACCTTTCCTGGAAAAGTTCCCCTCAAAGTGCTAGTGAAGAGCAGTCTTTTCAAGTGTTAGTGAAGAGAAGTCTTTTAGATGATCTTGCATTTATTTGAATAGGAACTGAGGAGGAACATGTCAAGACAGGACTATGTGCTGATCTAAGTGGTTTCATTTTCATCCTGGGCTAAGAGCTAAGCGACATTCCTCAATCCTTTTACTATTACATTGGGGCAGCATATGATATATTCTGGCCAGCAGAATGTGGGTGGAAGGGATATAGGCCACTTCCAAAAAATAACCCCTCAAAATTTCCCATGCATGATCTTCCTCTCTCTTGTCCTCTCCTGCAAAGACCTTAGAGGCCACATGTTGAAGATGACGGTGGCATAGACAAGACAGAAAATCATTTGTGTCCCTGAATGACTGTGTTAAGTACAACACACACTGTATTGAATCTTAGGTTGGGAAGGGTTGCTGGTTAAGGCAGCTAGCATTACTTACCCTAACTAATACAGAGTGTCTGATTTACTCAAAGGTTCCTAAACCAAAAGCCTCAGCTGGTTCTTGGTGTATCCCACCATCAATCTGCTTTTGACCAGCATGACTATGCACAAAGGCATAAGTCATCTGCATTCCCCGGCATCCAATCTAGCGTTCGGCACAGAGCGCGGCTTACCTGGGTGTGGATTCATGTGTGTTTATGGAGTGGATGAAACTAGACAAGAGCTCCGTGATTCCAACCGGCTGAACCTCAAGCAAGGTCCACATTGTCATCTGAGGTAGATCAACCACTGGCCTCTACCCTGTGCTGCATGTCAGGGCTTCACCTCTAGAACAAGGGCATTTCAGCTACACAGGGCAGCTGCACACTGTCTCCCCATGAGAGAAGCCCAGCGCTGAGGACCGCCCTTCAGAACAGAGGCTGTTGTGCAGAGGAAAGTGGTGCTTCTGGCCTGGTTGTTTCTCCTCCGCTGACGCTAATTATAGTTTGCTAAATGTAAACCGGGGCGATATCTCGCCCACCCAAAAGAGTTCCAGAAATGAGCCTGTTGCCTTCATAGTAACTTGGGAGCAGAAAACTGCTCCTCCTTCTAAATCTTTTATACTTTTTTCTCTCACAATACAAGGGAGTGTGGTAAACACAGGTGTGTTCATAGGAGAGGTGGGAAGTGACTGCAAATCTCCCCAACCTCAGGGCCCTTCCTTTGGGTTGCGGGTTGCTTGCTCGGAGACAAAGCTGGAGCATGGAGTAGAGGCATGGAGAAGACACCACCTGGCTGGCAGGGCTTAATTACATGCGTGTGCAGTGTTCTGGGGGCAGTCTGAGGGTGCAGTTACACAACTAATTATATTGAAACAACAAACTCGAGCTTCATGAAGGGCTTCCGCCCATGGGACCACCATGTTGTCATTTCCCTACACAATCTTGCCCTTCCTCTCTGTTGGCATCCCTCGTGGAATTTTCTTCTGTGAGCCTCCTCCTCCTCCTTTCAGGACATCATCAAGAGCTGCCACCTCACGGCGGCCTTCCCTGGGGTCTTCCTTCCCCTTCCCCAGATGACTGAATCCCTCTTCCCTCTGCGTTACCACACACATAGCATGGGGCTTCTATGGCACTACTTTCTGGGTCTGGGCCTCGGTTGTTAAATCTGGAAAGCCTCCACGGTCTTTTCAAGCTTCAGAATGAGTTTTGTCTAAATTCTTAGGAATAACCAAACGGTCTAAACATATTATAGTATCGTGGGAGGATTGTGGCTTTGGCACCAGAAGAAGGGTTTGAACCTGACTCACTTGCTTCTAGCTGAATGACCTGGGAAGGATGATTTAGCAGTGTCTTTGGACCTCAGTTCCCACATCTGTAAAATGGCAGGAGTGCTGATATTACTTCACAAGACTGAAGAGTAAACTAAATTAGGCTGTGCCTGTGAAAGCATTTTATAAGTAATGAAATACAATGTTTGTAACAGTTCCATTAATAAAAAGCTGAGTGAACGCCTCCCTATCCTAAGGGAAGCATTACCACTGCTGGATTAAACATCTTAAAACTTACATCTCAGGTTCTCCGAACCACGCCAAACAATCTTTACTGCCTCTCTAACTGTAGGGAAATAAAGGGCTTTCTTTAAAAATCCCCCTGAACCTTAATACTAACGATAATGACAACTTGGGCAACCCTTTGTTGGTTACCTACCCTGTGTTAAGCACTTGCCAGGCATTTACCCCAGAAATGAAATGAAAGAATTAGACAGGCTTACGGTCAAGTCCCAGATTTGCAAATGAGTTTTCAAGTGAGCTTGAGAAATTTGCTTCACTTTTTGAATTTGAGCTTCCCTATCTAGAAATCAGCTGCAATAGTCCCTACTATAAAAATGAGCTGTGAAAATTAAAATGTGGCAACCCTTTTAAAGCATGCAGACACAATACCTGACACAGAGGAGCCACTCAAGAAAAATTATGCCCTTTTTCCTACTTTTCTTTCCCTTTGGACACCAAGATTCTAGAATTCTACAATATAACACATTCATACAAATAGGATGTGTGGGAGATGATGTGTGTCCTCTAGGGGAGTGATGTCACAGGAAGATCTTACCAGAATCTCCATTCCAGTATTACCACTGGGCCCCTGTGTGAGCCTTTCGCCCACTGTGCTCATCATCACAATATTTTACAGTGAGAGTTTAATTTTTTTTTAATAAAAAGAAAGATTATTCTCAATGATGCATGTGATAAATATGCCGGCTTTAAACATTTTAGAAATATTAAAGGTTTTACAGCTCAATGTTTGACAGACTTGATTAATCCCTTCCACACAGAAGTATTCAGGAGGAGAGCTACAGTTGGGTTTTAAAGCTCCAAGAGTGTTCTTTGATAAAGGTAAAGAAAAGGTAAAGAGCTTTTAAAACGAGAGAGAGATTCTCATGCCATGCAGGAGAGACAAAGAATATGAAGACTCAGAAGGCTGCACAGTGTCGGGGGGAAGCTGAAAACTGGGGCTGGGGGCCAGGCACGGAGAAGAGCGCTTTAAAATCTCTCTCCTTAGACGAGTTTTCAAATGAAAGACACACATCCAGCCTGACCACAGGACGTTAGTATCAGAGTTTTCTTCTCTGCTGGGTTCCACACTGGATGATGTGGGAGGGGGTGAGGGGCAGGGCAGACCAAGGGCAACACAAACTTCAGAAAGCAATCAAGTGGAATGTACCGTCACCTCTTCATGAGTCTTGCACTATTCAGCAGCCTCCCGCTTGCTCTTTCAGGCACTGGGGTCATTTCCTGCAATGACCTCCCCAATCCCCAACTGGATTTTGAGCTTCTCTAAAAAACAGCAAGTACCTGTGTGTGTGTGTGTGTGTGTCTGTGTGTGTGTGTGTGTGTGTGTGTGTGTGTGAACCTTCCCCTCAGCACCCACCCTAGCTTTTGTATATAATAGGTATCTAAGAAATGCCTAGTTGGTGTTTTACAAATTCTTGGCGAAATGGTCTAATGACATAAGTGGTGTAAAAAGCCCTACTTAAGGACACTGCTTTAACAATTATTAGCAGACTTCATTTCCTTCTGATTCTTGCTCTACAGAAGAAAACTGAGTTTAGGGACGAAACCACTGAGACTTCCAAATATCGCCTCATTCCACAAACACTTATTGAGTGCTATTTCCATGCTAGGTAGGTTGGCTCAGCCACATTGCCTGGCAAAGAAAACCTGTCATCATTTTAAGGCGCTTTGTTAAAGTAGGTCTCATTTCTGGGGGCGGGGGGCCTGCCATGATTGAAGCCTATATGGGAAAACGTGCAGGACAAAGGAAGGTACGCTAAACCCAGCATTTCGGTTCATGAGGGAATGTTTAAAAAAGCACTGAGAATGATTGGTAATAGACTCTTAAGCTGAACATTGAAGGATAATGCCAAGGGAGACCAGGCATGCATACTTCCCCCATATCATGCATACAGTTGTGATCTGTGGCCTTCCATTTAAACTCCATAAGGAACAGCTTGCTCTGCTAATCAGACTCCCACACAAAATCTCGAAGCGCCCGCCCGCTCTGCTCAGAGGTTTGCTTTGACACCCAGGTCAGTGTCCAACCCCAACCCCTACTCTATTTTTATGGAAGCATTTTCCCAACATGAAACACCAACATATTTGCCACAAGATATTATGGGGGCAAAAGTGTAATTCAATTATGTGATTTAATCAATTCAAATGGCTAATGTGCGAGGATCTCAGGATGCCATCCAGCTTTCAACTAGGGCGAATAATTGTTCCATAATTTCTTAATTCTCCCACAAGACAGTTTAAATTAAAGGATGTCAATTTGCAAAGCCAGACTGCATTGTATTCTTAAATTGGGCCTGAAATAGCCACAAGATGAAGAGTAATAAGGCAGAGAGAACAGAGCCCAGAGTGCCTGGTGCTGTGCAAAATTGTTTAACACGGTCAGACCCTTTAATCTTCATATCTATTGATGCAGAAAGCAGCATATTTCTGTCACTTATGATAAGAAACATTACTTTTTAAATTCCTTGGTGAGGTCTGCAGATCTTAGGCAGCCAAGATAGCAGGAATCTCTATTTCTGTGTCTGTGAACATTTCTTTTTTCCCTTAAATTGGTTTTATTCTAATCCATTTAGTCTCCAGTCTAAGTTAGAGACACGTAACCCTGAATGGAACCACACAGGAGGAGAACAAAGCCATGTGCCTTTCGGTTCTGATTCTACCGGCAACTGGCTCCTCGAACAAGTCCGTGATTAAGCGAAAAATGAATGTTAACAGCATTAACTATAGGCAGGCAGTTAGTTCCAAAAAGGGAGAGGATTGGAACAGCATTTAAGAGAGACAGACACATGCTCAAAGGCAGAAGATGTGGCATGAGGAGGTGATGATGTCAACTATTTCCATTAAAGAATCCAGCGTTTTACTCACATGTGTCCTAGAAAGTGGTTTGGTCAGCTGAGTGGGGGTGATGCTGGGGAAAAGGAGGACCCAAGGTCTGGACTCAAGAGACTGGATGATGTGTTGCCAAGATTTCCGGGGCCACAAGTCAGGAATCGTCATCGAGAAAAGCCAAGGACGTAGCTGCAATGAAAGAAGTCTCTGTCATTTTGAAAGCAAACCAATGAAGTTTCGAGAAAGGGGGATAAAGTACAAAGTTAGTCACCGCAGTGGAGTTGGGAGTGAGCGACTCAGGAAGAAGCCACCCAGTACATGGAAGTGGGCCTGGGGCACAGACACCTGAGGAATGGAGCCACAGACAAAAGGAACTTTCAGTATCTCCGTTCCTAGTGCTGTACTAGACTATTTAGAGGGTACAAAGAATAAAACATTCATCAATCTGTGCTTTAAAAATTTGGGCTAGGTTGTACACACAGAGGTTAAAATTCAAAAAGGACAAGCTGTATTAATTTACCTATAGGACAAATACCTAGAATGGAATTATCAAGTAAAGAAAACATAATTTAAATTTTGATAGATACTGTCAAATTACCATCCATGAAGGCTGTACAATTTTACAGTCTCGTTAACAATATATCAAAAACCACCTCTCCCTCGCTCCCACCAATAGAGCCTATCTTGGTTCTTTATTTAGAGAGACATGAGAGGGGCGCGTGGGTGGCTCAGTCCGTTAAGCGTCCAACTCTTGATTTCAGCCCAGGTCATGATCTCACCGTTTGTGAGATCGAGCCCCACGTTGGGCTCTGTGCTGACAGTGCAGAGCCTGCTTGGGATTCTCCATCTCCCTTTCTCTCTGCCTCTCTCTCTCAAAAATAAATAAATAAACATTAAAAGAAAGAAAGAAGGAAAGAAAGAAAGAAAGAAAGAAAGAAAGAAAGAAAGAAAGAAAGAA